GGCCAAAAATAAACATGGGCCCTCAAGACAAGGCTGAATAATTACTCCTGGCAAATAATGAACAGAACCCAAACCTCCAAAATATGATGCCTTTTCCATCCTTCCCATCTCTCTTGTTAAAAAACCAAAAAATGTATATTTGTTTACTTCTCAGTTGGCACCAGAGACAGGCTAAGAACAAAAAACAAAGTTCAAGAAGAGCTGAGGACTGAAAACTAAAACAGAAAAGGCTCAGTAGAAACAAAACTATGAGATTTGTATTTAGAAAGGGGCAAGTCGAGGCTTATATGTTTGGATAATTTAAATTATGAGAGAATCAAGTAGACATAGGCCTACAAAGAAGACTGAATAATTAAGGCTGGTGAATAATGAACAGAGCCCAAGCATCCAAAATATCATGCACAGTGACTGCAACAATGGGCTCAAACAGAACAATTGTGAGGATGGCGCAGGGCCGGGGGTGTTTTATTCTGTTGCACATAGGGTCACTACGAGTCAGACGTGACTTTATAGCACCTAGAAACAACAAAGTGGACAGGAGGTTGAACACCTCATTCTACAGAGCTAAACTTACCAATTTCTCAGTGTAAGAAAGTGCAGCACTGAGAACAAAAATAATGAAAAATCTTACCAAGGAACGATAACTGATGAAACTGTTTCAAGAGTTCATGTGCTAGGATACTAGGACATGGCTCATGAAAGCAGAAAGAATATTCTAGGATGACAACAGGCTATTGCTATACAAATGAATTGCAAATGCTATTCTAAAGGCAAGTTTAACCTTGTGAGTCATAGACCTCTAATCAAGTTTGGGTTTTTTCTAGGAAATAGAGTCATTTGCTTGGGAGAGTCCAGGTAAAATATCAAAAACCCACTGCTATTGAGTAGATTCTAAACTAAAGGAGCCCTGTTGGGTGGAGGAGCCTGTCTCATGGGATTCCCAAGGCTGTCATTGTAAGGATGGATGCAGACTGCCACAGCTCTCACCTGCAGAGCAGGCTGGTGGGGTCAGCCACTGGACCAGCGGGACTAGAGAATCATTTTGCTCCAAGATGCTTATACTCTTCTGAATAAGTCTTACAAATCTCTACCTGGAATTCAAGATGCTAAGTTCTTCCTCTCTTTTATTCGGTCTTTAATTTTCAATTGCATGAGATTTCTCGACATCTTTTTCAAAACACACACACAAAGAAGGAAGGCATAGAAAAGTGGAGTGGTAGAAAGAAGGAAAGGCAAAAGTTTGGCAATAACCAGTAACTTCATCATGTCTCTGCTTGTCCATGTCATCTCTAGATAAATCTGCTTGCAGATCAATGTGTACACTAAATTTTCCCAGGCTTTCCAGATATTAATACTCAGAATAATATGCATTGATATAGTACAGAAATGACACGAGACCCCTCTGTTTGGGTTCTGGAGTGAGTCCCTGCAGCATCAGCTCCCTTGTATCTCTTGGGGCCATTCTGAATGAGAGAAAGTGGGAGAAATCCGATTCCATATTCCAATGGCTGTGGGTCAAACTGAGAAGAACAGCCATATGCTCTTGGGAATTATTTGCAACATTGTACATCTGAGAGTTCATTTATATAGAAATAAATTACCTATATTCTGCTTGAGAGATTTGGTAATATATTGGAAGTTATGTTGCACTAACTTACCTACCTTCACTTATACCAAACAAAGAGCTTCCTATATCAATATGGCAGGAGAATGAATTTAAATTAACACAAGGTACCCTTCTTTCCTTTTAGTCCATACATTTGCAGAGTTATGATAGGTATACAAATTTTATTATACTTCACAAATATATCAAGGATGGCATAATTTTTAACAAATTGAGACTATTTCTCTCTAGTAAATGTATCTCTCTGGTAGCCTGCATCCTAGGTAAACCTGAACTAATTTCTGTTCTTCTTACTTCAAGAGAGGCTTCTATAGGCCAATTAAGAATGCTGTGCAAAACCCAATACAGCTCGACTTTGCAGCCAGGACACTTGTAATTAAAGCTGGAATCATCTTCTCAAAGACACTAACTTGGCTAAGCATCTGTGTAATGGGCAGATGCCAAAATCCTACCTGATTAGGCTGTTATGAATCTCAAAACTGTGTTGAAGTCATAAAACTATGCTAACTGTTAAATCTAGCTATGAGATAGATTGAAGAATATTGGATCCCCTGTCAGTGAAGTTAAGAAAAAGGCACTTTGTTCCTGGACCATGCCTTCAACTCTACTCTTTGAAAAAGGTAGATCAAAAGGGTTCCAAGAAGTTGGAGAGCTCTCTGTCCCTGGCTTTTGCAAACTTATCCTCACTGACCTTGTTTGACTTCTGGATGGGATTTCCATGTGCTACAGTTTTTGTTTTTTGTTTTGCTCATTAGTACTTCTACTTGTTTTTTGTGTGTGTTTGTTTTTACAATGCCAAAAGGGAGACACTAAGGTTTTGTCAAACTTTAGCCAAGATGGAAAATGAAAGAGTTTAATTTCTTGAAATTAAAATGGCAGAGTTGGTCACTTTAAAAAATGCTATCAAATCATGAGTCATTCTAATTGCTCTCACATAACACACAAAGGACACAAACAAATGCATGCTCACGTGGTCTCTTCCACTTAGACTAGGAAGGAATAATATCAGAGTAATAATGTGTTCACAGTGGTGGGTTTTGTCCTAACAGCTATATTAATAAACCAATATTCAAGTGGGGGTAGAATAAATGTAATGATTTTTTGCCCTGGATGTATATTTATTGTGGAATGTAAAACATTCTACTTGAAGCATGTTTCAATATATATAAGTTTTAAATTTTGAAATATTCTTAAAGATAGTTTTCATCAAAATGTTCACATAACCTCCTTCTAGGCAAATAAGCCTGAGAAAAATAAACTCTTAAATGTGCATTAGCTATTCTTTGGATGCTTTAAAAACATATTTTCCAAAATTAGACAAATATATAGACACACCCTCGGTTTTCATGATAATAGCCAATAATATGGTTCACAAACCTTAACCAACAATGCCAACTCAGTGCCATCATGCTGATTACAACTCATCGTGTCCCCATGGGATGGAGTAGAACTGCTCTCTCCAGTTTCCAAGGCTGTAAATCTTTAGAGGAGCAGAGAGCATCCTTTTTCTCAGCAGAGCTGCTGCATTTGAACTGTTGACCTTGTGGTTTGCAGCCGAATACAGCTCATGGTGCCACCAAAGCACCCTTTAACACAACAGACCATAAAACACAAGTCTAACAATACAAAGGAACTCAAAAAGTTTGTGGAAAACTTGCATTATGTTTTGGTTCGATTTTCCACAAACTTTTTGAAGGCCTCTTATATTACAATCTAAAAATATAAAAATAGCATTATGGTTCTACATTATCACAAACAATAAATCACAATTGTCACTGGTTTCTAAACATTTTCCCAAAACATTTAGTTTCTCAGCATGAAACCTACAGTAGGGAGCTAGCTGCATGACCCTGCTGCCCAGTCACTAGCCACCCAGTGTGCCCTTCCACCCAATGAACAGGAATGTTCCAGAAAGGATTCCGGAGTGCTGGAAGTGATAGGAGGGCATTTACAAGCAAGCGCGGATCACTTTGAAATGTTGACTTCCAGGCAGGCACGCTTCTCTGCTAAATTATTCCCGGTTTTTAATAAGTAGCTGAGAAAGAATGTGCCAAAGAACAGTTCTTGTCAGGTACACCACATACACAGCCGCCTTGCCAGAAGAGTGTGTCACCAGTGGTAAAAATAAGGGAATTTCCAGCATTCCCTTCCTTTGTCAAGTCTTCCTTCCTTCAGGCCCAAGAGAAACTGAGCATGTTTTGCATACTATCCAAGGAAAGACATCCCTTGGACAAACTGACCCAATATGCTTGCACAGGGTTTAGAAAGAGAGTACATTTGTTAAGCTACCCACTCCCTTCATCTGAAATTCCTGCTTTTTAACTTGCAAACAACTCTACAACAAGTCTGTGTAAAACCACTGTAAATAACTTCCTTCTCAAGCAATACTGTCTCCTCACTCAAGTACAGCCGGGCAGAGCTGTGAGCCCGAGCGCCCAAGGTGCCTTCTGCGGGCGTCCGGGGCGCCGCGCTCCCGTGGCGGTCGGGGTCC